GAACCAGCCGCCGGGTCGGACTTTCGCGGGGATTAAACGACGCCAAGAGGGACTGTTAGAACGTAACGAGTGGCAGGTAGAGAAGGAGAAAGGAGAGAAGTTAGGGGAGAAGCAGCGTCGGACCAACAGCGGGTTTGTTGGCAAAGAGGAAGAGCAGTCACGAAGCGGCTATAAATACGCTGCGCCACCTGCAGCTAACGTCCACCTACGTACCGACCAGACAGAACCAAATCGTGCCTAGTTGTTAGGCCGGCACGAACCGGAAACACCGACCCTCTTGCCCGAATTACCGCGCGAAACTATTTTTCTTCCGACCGTTTACACGCGAAAGAAACAGTGGGTAGTAAATCGACTTCGCTCAAGAGCAGTCAATTATTTCCTTACTACGCGAACGTACGTCTCAATTGTCCAGCTGCAACGTGTTCGCCATTTCAAGAATCAAACTGATAAGAATGCGATAAAAACTTACAGACAAGCGAGTAAAGTACGTGACGATTTCTTACACCGTCATGAATATTTTCCAAGTGTCGTGCCCCGAGTGGTATTTACGATTGCTTAATAAAATTGACCGAACGACCACAGTTGGGGGTTCGGGGAAATAACAAAATTAGGTCGATTCCCGAAGAGGCAGTGGATAACCCGATAAAAGGCCGCGTTAGATCAGGCCGAAAATTATTAAGATATTCATTCTAAATAAAGTTCTTTCTTGCCGCCCGCTCGAAGTCCGATGAATACTAATCGTTCGATCACTCCCGAATCCTCAACCTCCCATAAACAATTGTAAACCCCGATGGGCGCAATATAGGGTCGCGTACCTCGGGAATACCTTCTGTTTTACACGTAACGTCTACGGAAGAGGATCGCGCTGATCAAACAACGCGATAGCGAAACGAAGCTTTATTTTATTCATCCGCGGAATGTACGCACAGAGAATTGCGAGGCAGGTATCGCCAGTGATATAAAGTTACTCGATCCTGTGTGCTGAAGCCACAGTACACGCGATATCGTCTGGCTTTGGTTGAAAAGGATACCATGCAAAAAAAAAGGAAAGAATAGAGGGACCAGAGAGAGATAGCGGGAAACGAAAAAAGCATAGGATTTGATATTCATTGTGCAATGATATTAAAAGCAGCGGATATCCGAGCGAGCAGTTGCCGCGTTCAAAAAAAAAAAACAAAAAAAAAACAGCTGACAGAGACACAAGCTAGCACCCTTTTTTCACGCATCGCCTTTTAAATTCGACACCCTTGAGCGCAGATTTTAAGCAAACAAATACCTATCGAATGTATCACGGGCGAACGGGTGCGGAACGAAAAGCAAAGAAAAAGAGAGCATAAAGAGTGTGGCACACAGAGAGGAAAAAGAGAGAAAATAGGGTGAGAGGGAGGGTGGGATAGGTGCTGGGAGTGACTTGGTACGCGGTACAAGGGCAGTTTACTACGAGCGTGTTAATTAAACAAAAAGCCACCCCCGTATACCAAGCTAATTAGAGTGGCTCTCTTAACAGCGCGAGCGCGTTCCTCGTTTCAGAAATATTTTCCTTTTGCATCCTCCGCGTGAGACCAACTTTCCCTTCTTTCCGTCCGCCTACCGCTGCATTTTCCTTCCACTTTTTGCCGCTTCTATTTCCTCTCCCCCTCTCTCTGTATCCTGATTTTTTCAGCCCACTTTCTTTATTCGCCAGTTCGTTCCACGGTATGAACATTCGAAAGTTGGTCGCTCGTACCGCAGCGTATTTTTTCAGACGTATTTTTTCTCGCAAAATTTATTCTAGAGGAAAATACAAGAAAAATTTATCTTGAAATTTCCAACAGAAAAAGGTAGTTCGTCAACGGGCGAAGCTATTCGATCTACCGGCGCATCGCGGCGGACTGAAAATTCAAATCAGCTCGAACCGGGCTGGAATATTAATCGAACACGGATCTCGGTCTCGTCGCGGCCGAAAATCGCGATCTCGTTACCCGCGCGACACGTGAAGCGGGAGGATTAAACGAGTCGCGAGCCGTGTGCCACGTTTTATTCGATTCCAGCGGGTCCGGTCTCACGCAGTGGCAGATTTAGGGCGAAAACCGACCGACCGCGATTAGGATTCGCTAACGCAACCGCAAACAAACACTGCGGTCGAAGCGATGCGGAAGAGAGAGAGAGAGATAGGGAGAGAAATGAACGAAGAGGGAACACGAGAGCGGCATAGTAACGGTCAGTGGAGTAGCGAAAGGGCGAAGGGAATGGCAGAGATAGTTGAATCGAGAGAGAAACATCTGCGATCGGATTAGCGGTGAACAGTGGCGACACTTCCGGGTGATTAGGCTGATTCCGCATCCACTCTAATCCGGCGCTTACAACGCTCCTGTTCGATGCACTACCAAATCTCTGTTCGTATTCGCGTTACAGTTTCGACGCGCAATCTGGTAGTCTTCTTACTATTCCTTCATCTTCTTAAAGATTTATCATTGTAGACCTTCAATTACGTAATTGACACAATACAGTTACTATTCGATATTTCATATTTTTATAGTTATCTAGAAGTGAGAATACTAAAATTTAGAGATATCGATTTGGAATTGATCGTTGTTTCCCAGCAGAAATTCATACGAAACGAGCGATAAATCGGTATGAAAGCAACGCGATGTCGTGGCAAATTCAATTTTCTCCTCGTCGAGGAAAATTTTAGCATCGGACAATCGTCTTCCTGGAGAGAAGACACCGATGCATTCCGAGCGAAAATAGCCATGCAGATATGCGAGACGAGGAGGTTCGAGCTGTCTCTAGCTTGCTTCCAAGCGTGCACTCTGCTTTCTAGATCTCATCATCTGGCACCTTCTATTTCTTCTTCTTATTAGCGAACTGCTGTATACCGTCAGATGAATTTGTGGGATGGGCTACGAAACTCGGACAAGTATATTAAGAGACGTTGAAATATATTTACGCTAACGCGTAAAGACACCTTGACCAGATAAAGGTTATTCGTCTCTCCGACGAAAGATCTATTCAGAACCAAACAATCCTATTTGTCACGAAATTGTTTCCAAACGCGTCAGTAACGGAGTGACTTCGTTCCGACAAACTTCCACGGGTCATTTTGTCGCGCGGCGTATTTCGGTACACGGTCTGTCGGTGCTGTTTCCATTCTCCTTCCTCGTCAACTGGATCCCCGCCTACACACCGGCTCCCGTGTTCTTCCTCATTCCCGCGTCGAGCGTCCGCCTAGACGGCCAAGATAAACCCGGCGATATCGTATCTCGAGCCAGTTACTTTGCCGAGACAAAACGCGACACGATTTAACCGTCCCCCGTCTGTGAGAAACGTTTGCTCCAATCAAACCGACACTGATTTCCAATCAATCGAAAAGCGAATTATTATACGTGAAAGGATTCTTTGGTGAGAGATTCGCGAAGCACGTGCGATCGGAAAAATCAAGAGGCGACAGCGAGGCAGTGACCCGAAGCTGCAGGATGAAAGTTAGCGAGCGGATTACGAGGTAAATGTTTGCGCTGCAGCTGGGCCGGTGAGCCGCGAGAACGGGATAATAGGCGGAAATCGACACGGGGGAATTGCGAACACGTGCGACTCGTGCAAAACGGGTGACGTTTCCTGTTTTTCTTTCCTCTGATAACAACGCGCGAGCAAGAGGATTGTTGCGATATTCTGCAAATTAGCGAAAGATTGAATATTGTAATAACGGCCGTGACGTAACAACCACCGCGAACGATCGTTTAATAATAACCGCAGCCGCCATTCAATTTCCCTGTGAATCGAAACAATTATTACCATCCGTGACGCGAGTGGGATACCGATAGCCAAGTGGTCGAGCCACGGGCCATCATTGTCCCCAGAAGTGTGGATATTTTCATAACGATTAATACGGAAGCCGTTAAAAATCGTTATCGTTGTTATCGCGATTCAGAAAACGTATAACTTTGATCACGAAACATTTATATCCTTATAAATTTAATTTCGTCAAAGCCACGTCGTGATAACCAGATGAAATAACGTTCACCGGAACGATACACTTATTTCTCGGGGTTGAGCCCCTGCCAGCGGAAATCGCGCGATAAATCGTTTCGCGGAGTCGTCGACGGCATCGGCCGGCCATAAAGCCGCTAAAGAAGACCGACGGTATAAGTTCCTCCACCCCGTGTCTCCCCAACTCGCATTTCCATAGCAATATTCCGCGAATATCGAGTTCATAGTTAACGTCACCTAAAACGACCGAGGTAGCCGAAGCTCGACCGTTCGAAACAGCGGCGTACGAAAGCCGGAGAAAAGCTGAAACGGGGATATATCACCGTACGTTGGCGGCAAAGTAACGAGAATTTATGTCGATTAGAGGGACGCGAAAAGAGGAGAGAACAGGGAAAGGAGAAGAGGAAGAATAAAAAAAAAACAAATGTCAAGGGATCGGGAACGCGGTTGGGTTCGCGGCTCCTGGTTGATACACGTTTCCAACGGGTCGACTCTCGCGTCGTAAATTTCTTCGTTAGAACCACGATTCGTTCGCGTTGCACCGAGAGCAAACAAGCGGAGCAGAACGGGTTATCGACGATGCAATTATATCCCCGATCGACGGGGACGGCTGCACCGTGGCGCCAGTTATTAGCGAAATGATACAATTATCTTGGAAACGATTAGTCCTTTCTCTCCTTTAACTTTGTTCGAACTCCCTCGAAATTTATGTTATCTGACCAATCGATAATATAGATACGAGAATTTTACATTTAAAAAAAAACTTTAGTTCATGCAGACTAACTGGGTATTACCCGCGTCGAAATTGAAATTATAAGCAATTACAAATTGAAAAATTTAAAAATCTAAAAGCCCAGTAGATGGCTTTTTGATTATTTTTCGACACGAAAAATTCCAGTTTTCATGGTGTACATCTATGCTTTGTATATCACACTCGCCAGAACAACGCGATCGGTCAATATCTATCAATCGAGCTGTCAGATGAAACGATAAATAACGAAACAATTTCTAACCAGTGGTTTTCTGCTTTTCAGACCGGGAACAGTTACAAATCGCCCGAGGAGTCGCCGCATTCGGAGCACAGCAGATTGAGGTGAGTGCTGGCCTTTTACTCCGTTACTCGTGCTAGTTTAATTACGTTTCCTCTCAAATAGCATGCACCGTGTAAACCGGAAATGCGTTGAATTTTCTCGTGAAGTATTAGCAGTGTCTCACTTTCGAGGACTGCTAGTAATCTGTGAGAAATAGTACATAGGACGCGTTCGAGTCGTGGATCAAGTTATTCGAGGCAATTATCTGGTCAACAATATGGGACCAGAGCTATGAAATCGATTTTATTCATCCCGAAATCTTTTGGTCTAAATTTGTTAAATTTAAAAAAAAGAAACTTTGGAAGACAGAAATCACAGGTTTGAAATTCCTTGTCGCGTATATGGAAAAGATAATACTTTCCTTTCGCTTTTCAATATCGAAGACAAAACAGTGGAAACGAGTGAGAGCAATAAACGTGGCAGCTAAAAAGATGGGACGTTATTTAAAATTGAAGTCGAAGCGCGATTCTGTCCCATAAAGATGAGAGGACGGAAAAAATATCATCGCTTTCGCATTTCACGCGAATGGCGGGAAAGGATTTGGCCGGAGCAAGGAAATCTCATCCACTATACGTTCAATATCGGTTCTTGCTGATGACCGAGTATATTCGCGTCTCGTAACTGTGCTACCCGTTCTCGGGGCCATTTTCAAAATACACTACTAGCTCTACCATTTTGCAATATCGCCGGTCTTCCACTGCCTTAAATCGACGTTTGAACTACAAAAATGCTCGACAGAGCTGAGGTAAAACGAGACTTGGAACTTGTTTTATTGAGATGTTCTACTTTCCACGGATCAAACGATCTGTTCTTTTATTGGATTCTAATCCATTACTTGTATCCCCGGATTATCTGGCTACAAATAACGTTATTCGTACGTCCTTCAAGTAACAATTAAATTAATGTTCGAGACAATTGAAAAGTATTAAATCGTAGAAAAAAAGAAGTAATAAAGTATCGAGTCACGTAGCTCTCCTAAAGGCACTATTGAAGTCGGCGCGATTTCCACGCCGATTGCAATACTTTTAATAGGGAATCGTGGCTTTCGTGTCGACGGCGATGTAACTGCAGCGAAAGGGCGAGCAGACGGTGGCGATTATCTCTCATTACACCTGCGATTCCCAGCTGCAATGTGTTCCAATTAATCGCAACGAGCGGTTCAAGCCGGGTCGAGCAGGGGGAAGGAGGGACGAGGGAACACGGCTGGTCAGGCGTGGCACGAGACGCCGGAAGTTACGCGAGTCCCGGACGTCACGGATTCGAACGGTGTTCACGAAAAGCAAAACGTGATCGCGATACGCGTATAGAATTCCAGTGTCGAGTTTCCCAATGGCCGCTGTGCCGATTAATCCTGCGCCTCCGATGGAAAGGTAATACGTGCGTGGATGTTCACGTTCTGATCCTTAAAGGGTGGCTAAAAATTGTTAAAAATTTTTCAAATGATTCGTCACTTATTATTTTAATATTTATCACTGTAACGCTTATCATAATTTTAATCCGTTAAACGTCTGAAACAATCAACAAATCAATTATGTGCCGTTTAGTATTCTTCTGAGTTCAATCGGTGAAAGAATCGTTGAAAAACAATGTGTTGCGACAGTAAAGGATCACGTTCGAATTCGAGAAGTAGCGAGGGTAGGTAAAATATCGCCGACCAACCCCTTCCGCCACCGCGTCGTCGTCCGTGTGATAAATGGACGAATGAAAAAAAAATGTTACGAGTCCGTGCGATTCCTTCTCTCTACCTTTTTCTCTCTCTCTCTCTCTTGACGCTTCTTTGACTCGCAACGTAGAATTTTTCATGCCATCGAGCAAGGAGAAAACGTTTTGCACCTTCCAGCAGACTCGTCGGTAGGACTATCTAGCAGCTCCGTAGACACCGAATTGTTAAATTCAGGTTACGAAAAATATTGGGTTGTTCAGAAGGTTTGTATTGAAATTTAGCAACCCATACCATTGTCCAAGGTCCGTGTCTATCTCGATTTTACTATCGTCGCATATTCCATCGATGCGACCAATGCAAGTCCAATAGAAGCGAATCAGAGAAGGCACGGGTCGCATTCGAACGACGATTCGGAATCAACCGCGAGGCGTGAACGCGTGAAATTCGCGGTGCGGCGCGTAAACGTCGTCCATTCGGTATTTCAATAGAATCCCCGTCGTGTCGTTCTGGTCCTCGGAATCGTTGAACGAGGCCAGGTTATACACGCCGTTCGCCATCCATCCTACCCTTTCCCTCGTCGAATGTATCCACACACCCTCGGTTCGCATTCGTCGAACGAGAGAACTGTTCTTTTCGGCATCGTTTGCGACACGGTTCGTTTGAACTTGGCAAATGACTGGCGGCAGACACGCGGGTGCTAAATGACTGGCAGATGCAGGCACTCTATCTTCGTGTACCGACACGTCGTGAAACGATCGCCTCGCAGCTGCATTCGAGCCGCTTAAGCGCTCGTCCGCTCAATCTGACAAGCGATTAATTATGAACATGCGATTAGGCATAGGTTTCGGCTGCTTGTCGTCGACGTATCGGTAGCGAACCGGCCTGGAAAGGCTAGGCGCCGCGGATCCTCGTGGAGACCGAGTTAGTTCCTCTAGTGGGCACGTCCACGCAGCTAGGTAATTGGCTCTGCCAGGCTGGGAACTTTTAATTGGCCGTCGACGAGAACGAGATCCCCTTTTTACATCGGTTCGATGATTTTTTATCCCCGTTCGGCCGGAAATTGGCGCGAGAAATAATCAGCAATCGAATCTGACCAGGAAGGTGTGATACACGGTGGTTGATCGTGGGAATGGTTTGTTTTGTCGCAGCATTAATTATATCAAGGGGATTGTAATTAATATGGAATTATTGATAACAATGCGAGAGGATAATGTAGAGAAAATTTCGGGAATATTATTTGCTGGATTAACGGATTACCATGCGATCTCTGCCGGAACGAACGGAACAATTATTCCCGGTTTATCGATTATACGTTGGTCGTGTAACGCCGTTCCTCGTTATAATCGCCTCGAGCGATCACTTCTTTTCATTTTTCTTTCTTCTGTCGCTATTTCTTCTTTTTTTTTATCTTTGAAATCTCGTTAAGAAAGCAATATTTTTTCGCCGGATTCGAAAGTGTCCGCGGCGAGATTAACGAATTTCATGGAACGAGCCACATCTCCGCAACGCACCGATGAAAAACGATTTCCTTGATCCTTAGATACGGAAACGTTGGCGCGCCTTGAATCCTTGTCGGAGGTCGAATTGAAAGAAAATACTCGGACTGTTATTTCAATGGTACCGCCTCGATTTCACGATACGCCTCTGATCTCGTTTCGATCCATCGAGCCGTCGATTAAAGCTGACGTCCTTAATGAGCGAACGCAGCCTCCGTCGATCGAACCCCGTTTAACGTTCGCGTGAAACTCAATTGGCACGTTGTAAGAACCGTACACACGATGCCGTGTTTAATCATCCGTTTTTCTGTATAATCACGAAACAAGCTCGCACGATTGACGATAATTGAAAGGAAAAACGGTTTCCGAGCCAAACGGAATAGCGATGAGAAAAATAATTATTCCTCGACACGGTGCAACAAATCGAAATTGATGCTTAAGTTATAAAAAGGTGTACCGTGTCAACAATATTGTTTGAAAATGCAACCGATCTCGCGATGTATCCGATGGCTAGCTGCCAACGTAAATCGGGCAATTTTCGCCGCCATTCAAATGCTCGTCGTGTTTCGAGCGAGCAGTTTTTTCCATTCTCGTGCATTATTAAAATAGCAATTAACTCGCTAAACGACCAGTTGGTAAGTTCGCGTGGTACAAGGACTCGGTGAGCTTGTACGTGTGTACGTTGTCGAACAATAAGCACGGACGGGCCGGATTTACCCCTCGAAACCGAGTGCTATGGCTTGTTTCCAAGTTAAACTTGGAGACGTTCTCACGAACACGGCAGCAGTAGCACGGATACCAGTATAAACAAAACGTAAATTTAGGCCGCATAAGGCGCCTCCACTTTCTTTCCACGAACCTGAAATCGCTGGAATCGGGCTTACGGTTATGTTATGTTTCCTTCGATCGAAAGTCGTTCGTTTCGGATGTTGTAGACTGTTTCCGGGACGTCTTGTTGCGGCTGTTGCTTGAGATATTGAATTTACTTTGCTTGCTTATTGGAAACGTTTTGCTTTCGGTTAGAGGACGTACGAGATGGAAATCGTACAAATTGTTGTAGAGATTTACGAACATTTTATTCTGTATATTTGAAAATTAACGAATATTGTCAATTTATCATCAGAATCGTAATATTTCAATTTAGCAACGAAAAATCAATTAATGGACTACTGGTCTGTAAATCCTCTCGATAGACATAAGTGATATTAACATATTTTGTTGTGTATCAGCAGAAATTGAAATTATATTAATCCCAGTACAGCGTAAAATCAATTTCAGTAGAATTTTAATCCCGTGTAATTTTCCTCGAGAACCAATCGCGCGCGATGGTTGCGAACGCGCAAAGGGTATTCACGTTCCGGAATTATTATGCAGAATCCGTGTTGATCAACGAAATAAATTTTCGAAACTGAGCTAGTCGGTGTTTCGAAACGTTCTGTGCCCACGGTTCTTAAGCGGAGTTTAGTTTCTTGGGCGGTAAATTTTCATTAGCGGAAAACAAATCACGCTCTTGGGGCTTCGCAGAGTGCTGTTTTGCTTGTTCTTCATTAAAGCAACAAACAATACCGCCAACTTTCTCGCTGATATTCGTCAATAAAGTTTCGCGTCGAGTTCAATGTGCGAAAAGCCGAGGTTTCTAGTTTTCCATTTCCTTTGAAACGCTGGTAAGTAGACGCCTGACCAATGGGAGACACATTCCACTTGCCAGCGTGAACGATTGCACTTGAAGAACTCCAGCTTTAAATTCTAATTGCAGAAATATTAAAGTTTTGATTCTCGAATGAATTTGATTACAAATTATTTAAAATAAAGCGGGAATATTAAACACCTTGAATCTTAAAAA